AAAGTAAGAACAGTTCTCTCCATATATTTATTAGGGCAGCACGATTCAATAGCATTTTCTATGGTAATGGAAATATTCGATGTCTGTAATGTCCAGTATGGTGCACACTAGCCACATATGGCTCTTCACATTTAAATTTCAATTAATTCAAATGAAATAAAGTTAAAATTCAGCTTCCCAGTTATACTAGCCACATTTCAATTGCTCAATAGCCACAATAATCAATTGAAATTTAAGTGTGAAGAGCCACATGTCACTAGTAACTATTGCATTGGAAAGCTCAGAGTTAGGGTTATTACTACCTAAAGTAAAAGATTAATCTGAAAATACCAGTGTCTTCAAACAATACAAGTTATTTTACCTGTATCACATGCAAACCAATCAGTACTGGGGTGTGGTGGTGGGGAGGCTTTATCACCACCTAGTCATTTGGAGATGCTTGTTTCTTCCATCTTGTGTGGCTGCCACCTTCAACATCAAGTCCTCAAGGTTGCTGTGGAGAGGAAAGAGAGGGAGTACAGAGGATCTCTTGGGAGGTTCTATGGGCCACATTTAGAAATGGTTACATCACTTTACCTTCTCCAATGGCTAGAAATAAATCACATGGCCCTCCGTAACTGCAGGCTAGGCTGGAAAATATTTAACCGTGTGCCCAAAAAGAAAAGGAAACAGGTTTATAGACATACGACATTACCCTGATACATTTATCAACAAGAAAAAAAATTAAATTTGCTGAGAGTTCTGGGATCAGTCTCCAATAACTTCTCCATGAGGAACTGGAAATGAATCTTAACCAGTGTGCTGGAGACGTGCATCTGGTACAGTTCTAGATGTAAGGAAGAGACTAAAAGATCAAAATGGGCCCATGGGATTAAACATAAAACAAGGATCAGGAGGAAGAAAAGGAATTAAAATACAGAGTAGGAAGTGTGGGTTTTGCTGAGAGAGAATCACATCTTCCTCCAAAAGGAAAACAAAGGGAAAGTGTGAGAATATAGAGGTTTTGAGGTGAAAAGGGGAGAAATGACAGAACCTTGGGTTGAATCACTTTGTGTTCTCTGAAGACAGAAGGAGGAGCTGTCTGCTGGGTACAACAGGGCTGGGGAGCCATTTGTGTAGGTGCTTAAACGAAGGGAAGAGACTTGGCACAGTTACTGTGAAGAATGGCTGAGGCATTTGCTGAAGAATCTGGAAGGAATCAGTTTAACCTGGAGACCATGATCTCTCATAGGATGTCAGGTAAACTGGAATGCATATCTTCTTTTTCTCTTGATAGATATCCCTATGGTAAGCCATAGCATCCTGTTAATCTTGTTTTTTTTCATAGCAATGGACTTGGAAAATATAACTTAAACTTTTTCCTTCTGCCATAATTAATATACCAGTATAAGCGTAAAACATCAAAGCTAGTGAATAGATTAGCATGCAAAATTTTCAAGAAAGATGAATAGAAACTACTGAAGCTAGTGATTCATATTTTGACATCGGATGAATTGTCAACACCGCATCATTTGATATTTGAGAATCACATCACTTCTTGTTACTAAAACTAGGAAGAAAATACAAATATTCTTTCTCGGAGATATTGAAAAATCTTGGAATCACAACCAATAGTTTAATATTATCTTCTGTATTTACCTCTTACTCCCTATTCTACCTCTTCAACTTCCTCTGTACCCATGGTCTTAAAGAGATCTCTTAGAAAACATTCATTATTGGGGTGCCTGGGTGGCATCAGACTTCAGCTCAGGTCATTATCTCACAGCTTGTGAGTTCGAGCCCCACGTTGGGCTCTGTGCTGACAGCTCAGAGCCTGGAGCCTGCTTCGGATTCTGTTGTCTCCCTCTCTCTCTGTTTCTTCCCCACTTGTCTCTGTCTCTCAAAAATAAACATAAGAAAAAAGAAAACACTCATTATTTAATATGAGGTGGGGTGGGAGGGCAATATCTCACTTCATTTGGTTGACTTTTATTTTTTAATCTGCCCAGATGTTCTTCCAGATCTCCTTTCTTATTAGTCCATGTGCATTGGGGCTGACTGACTTCCAGGCTCCAAAGGTGACCGTTAAGATCCAAGCCTGGCCAATCAGGCCATTATACTCCTCTGCCCACGTTAATGGGTGTGAACCAAGCCAGACCAATCTAAACTTCCCTTGAGATTTTAACTGGAAACAATGTGAGTTCTGAGGAATGTAAGTCTGGGTACTTGTAGGCATCTTTGTCAACACACTGGGACAGCTTGACCTGAGAATGAGGTCAACATGAGGCAAAAAAGATCCAATAGTTACAGAGTGACGAGACAGAGATACAGAGACAGAGGCAGACAGGGACAGCAAAACAGAGACAGTCTGGAATTTATTAAGTCCCTGGATCCAGCCATACCTGAAACCGATGCCCCTGAGGATTTCAGTTATATGAATCGAGTTCCCTTTGTAACATAACCTAGTAAGAATTAGGCTTTTGCTACTAATAGTGGAGAAAGTCCTGACAGTTAAGCTTTAAAAGTAAAGGTTCAGGCTGAAGAGGAGAGAAATTTGAACAATGGAATGCAACAAGTAGTCCCTGCATTTTTATCTCCCTCAAATCTTTCACCTTTTTGATAATGGTACTTTTGACATGTCCCAGGGGACAAGAGTAGAAAAGAAAACAAAAGAAATGAAACCGCTTTCTCAATTGCTGAGAAAGCTCAGAGAAGACCTGGAGAAAGATAATGTAAAATCTGGGCTTTGTCAGGCAATTCACTTGATAGTGTCTCAACCCAATACTACTGCCTATTGGTTACTGGATTAAGTCAGACAAGTTGGTCAGAGTTGTGTTAAGACATAAGGGGATTCACATGGGTTGAGCGTCAGTTTGCACATTAGTGGCTATGTGACATTAAAAAAATTGTTATGTATCTTATGGTCTTCTGTAACCAGAAATGGATAAAATATCTTCTGTGGCAGAGACAGCAATTATCCCCTAATATCCATTATCTCCTTCACCCATAGTAACAAAATATTTAGCTAAGCACATGCCTTCTCATTTCCCAGTCTCCTTTGCAGCTAGGTGTGGCCATATGACTAGGTTATAGTTATAATCATGGGATGCAAGGAGCAATGTCCACTGTAGATTTGGGGAATCTTCCTTAAGAGACAACTGATCATATGGTTAGTCATTTAAAAGTCTGCAAATGCCATTAATAGGGAATTGGTTAAATTATGGTACATCCTCCCATAACCCTCCCAGACAGGATTGGCAACATTTATTAGACACCCTGATAGCACCCTGTTTTTCTCCCCAGTTAGACATGTAACGATATTTTACTTTTTAGAATTATTTAATACCCGCCTCCTCTATTTGACTGTAAACTAATGAAGGCAGGGACCATGAGGACAGGCATTCTATGCCCAGTGCTTAGCACCATGCTGAGTATACAGTAGATGTTTAATATCAAATGTCTAACAAACACACACAGAATATTATGCAGCCACTTAAAAGTATGATAATGTAGAATTGTTTATTGACATGTCAAGTTACTTGTGATATAATGTTAAATTAAAAAATCAAATTATAAAATAGTAGATAAAGCATGATCTCATTTTTATAAAAAGAATAGCTATGTATACAGATACCTTGATCAAAATGTTAATAGTGGTATGATCATGGATTATTTTATTTTCGACTCTTTGTACTACCTAAATTTAAAAAATAATAACATTCATTTGATCCATTATTTTCTAATCTACAGGTCATTTTCATTTTGAAAAAAATCAAGCAGATTTAAAACAACTTTTTTTCTCACAAAATTTCACTTGAACATATAGTAATCAATTAGAAAACATTAGAAGCAAACTGGATTTCTGAATGCAAATCAAAACATTGGATTATATTCACCTTGATGCTATTTCTGATTAAAGTGGGCCTCTTACAAAATGATCATTATGATACTTTCATTTCTGTATGAGATTCATTATTTTAATGTCCATAATTACTCATTAGACTCTTCTCTCTCTTGTTATGCACATTCCATCTTAGGATATGGAGAATGGAATACATCTTAATTTCTTATTCTATTCTATGTTTTAGCTGAAGACAAGAAAGATAAAAAATAGTTAAAAGGCAATGGACTTCTAAATGTAAGACAATGTCAGCGGCTGCTACATTTAAAGCACTTCTCTTACATGAGGCAAGTTTGCAGAGGTGGTTTTTTTCCTAACAACACACCAAAAAGTTACCAATTCTAAAAGAATATTCATTTTAAGCAAACACTTTTGATAGCCTTACTGGTTATAAAACTATAACTGGGATTTTTTTTTTTTTTTTTTTAAATAAGCTCTATGCCCAAGGTGGGGCTTGAAATCATGACCTCAAGATCAGGAGTCACATGCTTTTCCGACTGAGCCAGCCAAGCACCCCTATAATTGGGCATTTTTAAGATTAGCTTATAATTTTCTCTTTTAAAAGATACTAGTTTATATAAACAAGACATTTACAGATAATCTCTACAAAGCAACATAACCGTGGATATCTTAAAAGTTTAAGTATAATTGCACTTTTTTATACAACAGTTAGCATTATTGTGGGGAAATGAAAGATACTTTTGTGTGTAAATTCCATTTCCCAACTAAGTGTAATTGAAAAGTTTCATTAAGGGGCAATCTAAAATTAAAAGAGGAAAAGAAAAAAAAATAGGGTAAATACCAGATATTGCAATCTGTCTTTTAGTAACGTTAATTTCGTTGTTCTTCCTAGTTTCAGTCCATGGACACAAAGACCTCAGCACCATAGTAAGAAGTCACACTATGACCTACAAAATGTGACAGCCCCGGGAGAACTATTACACCGTTATTCATTTTCTGTAAAATGTCTAACAGAACAGAGATAAATATTGTGCCTGGGAACCTGAATCACACAATACAAATCATTTATAATACAAATTGTGACGAAGAACGTGTGCTGTGCAGCAAGGCTCTACATGTTCTTTGGACGCTGAAAAAGTTCAATGACGCCTTATACTCTTCATTTCAGATCTAGGAGCATAAAAGCTGGGTTCTCTAAGTAGGATTTCCACAAATTAGAGAAGCGTGACATTGTAGCACCATCGATAATTCTGTGATCAGCTGACCAGCTCACGTTCATTATCTGTGCCTTAAACACTTCTCCTTTCTCGTTAAATCGGGGAAGGACCTAGAAATAAGGCAAAGAACAGAGTCAAACTTCACTTGCTCCAAGTACAAGCTTTAGCAACAGCAATGGTGAAAGATTAGGAAACCCCCCTTCCTGTGACAGAAAAGAAAGGGGCATCCCAACGACTTGAAAATTTTTCCCATCTCTGTACCTGCCTCAAGCTTTTCAGTTTCTCCAAGGCACTTCCTGTCTCCTGTATAATTTCCTTATATACAGTAAATCTCTTCTCAGATTTCAATTTGTTTTTAACACTTATTTATTGAGCAGCTACTATGTGCCAGGTACTCTTCTTGACTCTGGGGCTAAACCAGTGAACAAAACAAATAACAATCCTTGCCTTCCTGGAGCTAACATTGTATGGAGAAAGAGAGAAAACTAAGATAAATAAGCAAAATATATAGCATGTTAGAGAAAAGTACAAAGGAAAAAATAAAGCCATGTGGAAAGGGGAGAGAGTGTAGGCAGTAGCTAGATATAGGCAGCATTTTTTGTTTGACAGGGTGGGCAGGGAAAGCCTCACCATCGCTTCCTTACTGAAGGCAGCGAGGAAACAAGCCAGATGTATCTTCAAAGAGAGACAGAGGGGAAACATGACTTTGGAGTGTTAGAGGAACAGCAAAGTAGGCAGGGTGGCTGCAGTGGAGGGGCAGGGGTGAGAGGTGGGAGATGAGGTCATGGATGGAGCAGAAAGAAAGTGGGGCACACTGTCAAGGGCAATGCTTCTCAATCTGTTTTTGGTAAATGACTTATTGTTATTAAAAAAAATTTTTTAATACAGGGGCGCCTGGGTGGCTCAGTTAGTTGGGTGTCTAACTTTGGCTCAGGTCATGATTTTGTGGTTCATGGGTTCTAGCCCTGCATCGGGCTCTGTGCTGACAGCTCAGAGCCTGGAGCCTGCTTCGGATTCTGTGTCTCCCTCTTTCTCTGCCCTTCCCCGACTCATACTCTCTGTCTCTCTCTCAAAAATAAATAAATAAAATAAAATAAAATAAAATAAAATAAAATAAAATAAAATAAAATAAAATTTCTAATCCATTGCAAGCTATTTTTAAAAAATATATTAAAAGTAAATTACTAAAAGAAAAATTTAAAAGATATATAAAACGCAAGCCCTAACTTCTTGTATTAGATTCAATGCACCAAAAATCACCTGTCAAACTGCTGTGAAAGCATCTAAGCCCTACTCTCCCTTTCTGTACTGGTGTCCTCACAGTCTGGATACAACGTTCATGGCCTCACATGGGTACCTGATCACACTGCATAGCACCAGTGGAAGGCCATATAGGCCACTGCAGCTACTTTGGCTCTGATCTAAGTGAGGTGAGAAGTTATTGGAGGTTTCTGGGCAGAATGGTCATTTACTGAAAGGGGAAAACTTCAGGAGGAGTAAGTTTGAGGGTGGGAGGTGGTGAGGAAAGGAACAGGAAATTCAAGATGCCTAATTAGATATCCAACCAGGATATATGAATTTCCAGATCAAAGGAGAGATATAAACTTGAGTGTCATCAGTATATAAATGGCGCTTAAAGCCATAAGATGGGATCAGATAAAGAAAACGGCCAGAAGGGGGCCCAGGAATACCCCACAGCTTAAAGAGAGAATCAAAATCTTCCTTGGGAGATAAGGAAGTTTCAGCAAAGGAGCCTCAGAGGGAATCAGCAGTAGACAGAAGGAAAGCCACAATAGCAAGGTATTCTGCAAAGTCACAGTGAAAGAGGTTTTCCAAGGAAGTGGGATGGCTCAATTGACTCAGGTGCAGCCAATAGGTTAGGGAAGACAAGGACAGAGAACTGAGTTATGTGGGGGTTTTCGTAACTTAGACTTTTTGGCAACAAGACGTTCAAAATTTATAGTGAAAACAGAAAATGACAAAGGAGAGATGACACTATGAAAGAAAGGGATTGGAGACACACTATTTGTTCCCACCCAACAAATATTAGAAGACTTATACTCCAAGAAGTATTCTTCATAGCTTTATGAAATCATGGGTAACAATGATTTGGTAAAAACACACCTATTGAACAGATATCTGCACACCAATGTTCATAGCCGCACTATTCACAATAGCCAAAAAAAGAAAACAACTCAAATACTCATTAGAGATGAACAGATAAACGAAAAGTGATGTACACAAGCAGAGTTTGTTGGGCCAGGGAAAAACTTCAGGAGATGGATGGTGGTGATGGTTGCAAACACATGAATGTACCTAATGCCACTGAACTGTACACATTAAAATGGTAAACTTATGTTTTGTAGATTTTACCATAATTATACACACACACACACACACACACACACACACACACAATCCAGAAGAAAATACATCTTATCTTTAAGGAAAAAGAAAAACAAAACTTTCTCAGATAGGTATGATGGCTTGGAAACTGTAGGAAGTCAGAATTCTGTGAGATTCAAATGCTGGGTGGAGAATGGGCGACAGGGAAATTATATTCAGAGACACTCCTGATTTGTAAAGAACAGAGTCTCACTATGTGTTTCTGGATCTCTCTCCCTATCTCCTCTCTATGCGAGAAGGGAGAGTAGATGCTAGGAAAAAGGAGTAACGTAGTAGCTGAGGTATTATCTGTAAGAAAGCAAATCAAAGGCTGAATGAGGGACACCCGGGAGGCTCAGCAGGTTAAGCGTTCGACTCTTGATTTTGGCTCAGGTCAGGATCTCACAGTTTGTAGGATCCAGCCCCATGTCAGGCTCTGTGCTGGCAGGATGGAGCCTGCTTCGGATTCTCTCTCTCTCTCTTTCTTTGCCCCTCCTCTGCTCATGTGCTCTCTTGTTCTTTCTCTCAAAATAAATAAGTGAATGTTAAAAAAAAGTTTTAAAATATTGGAAGTGCAATTACAGAGGCTTTATATTCTGTTTTTGGAAGAGAATGCTTAACACTGAAAAATTATTGATCTGATGAGGGCAAGGTTCATATTTATGTTGCTTGGAACTCTAGTTACATGTTGTCTCTGCTTCAAAGCCTTCCATTCAGATAAGTAACATTTTGTTGTATTAAAAGACTCTAAGGAGGGGTGCTTGGGTGGCTCAGTTGGTTACATGTCCAAATCTTGGTTTCAGCTCAGGTTCATCATCTCACAGTTCATGAGATCGAGCCCCACATTGGGCTCTGCACTGACAGTGCAGAATCTGCTTGGGATTCTCTCTCTACCCTTATCTCTCTCTCTCTCTCTCTCTGTCTCTTTCTCACACACACACACACACACACACACACACACACACACACACACACACTGTCTCTCTCTCTCAAAATAAACAAACATTAAAAAAAAAAAAGTCTGAATGAAAGTATCTGTGGAGGCTTGGATGCCGACACAAAAGTAATAAACTCATGAAAGACAAGTCCCAGAGATACTCAGTATGGAAGCATCATAAACACAAAGAAAAAAGATTCTTCTGAAAGCATGAAGACCAAAATCATAGTCAATGTGGCAATGACATTTAATAATGGTGGTACTGAGATGGAATCCAGGGGCTTACTTCTTTTAACTCTAGTGGTTCTCAACACTGAGTTAATAGGGATGCCCAAGCCCTATCTGCTACACCCCGCAATTGTGATTCAGTTGGTATAGGGTGAGCTTAGGCATTTTTTTCCCAAGGTCCCCACATAGCCAAGGTTAAGAATCATTGCAACCCTTATTCTAGGTCAGTGTCTCCTAAAACATGGCCACAGGTCACTCAAGTTGGAACCACCTGGGTTCTTATTTAAAATGTTAAGTTCTGGAAGCTCGGTCCCCAAGGCTAAGAATACTGCAATTTTTTTTTTTTTTTTGAAGTTTATTTATTTTGGGAGAGAGAGAGAGAGAGAGAGGGAGAGAGAATCCCAAGTGGGCTCCACACTGCCAGTGCAGAGCCTGATATGGGGCTCGAACCCACAAACCATGAGATCACGACCTGAGCCAAAACCAAGAGCCAAGACGCTTAACCGAGTCACCCAGGTGCCCCAAGAATACTGCATTTTTAACTAGTACTCTCAACGATTCTTGAACAGAGCGAAGTTTGAGAAAAATTCTCTAAATGGTGTCTCACTGTGCTATAAATAATAATTTGTACTGGCCTACTATTATCTTTGGTATTCGGAAATAAAAATTTTTGATACAAGTAGATTGGCTAGATTTGTGGTTATCCATAATGACTCACATCAGTGCCTGGCATAAACCACGATGGTTGATCCATACAGAACAATCCAGATCACCACCATGTTATACACAGAGGCAGACACTAGAATTGCAGGCCTACCTCTTAGGAAGAAATAACTGGCCTACTGAGCCAAATGTTATACTCAAATCTACAAAGCAAGGGAAAAACCGCTGAAATGTCACTCTGTTGTGTTTACTCTCCCAATTTGCTAAGACTCTTTTGCCAGTTAGTTGACAAACATACCTTGATGGATCCGAGAGCCCCAATTGCTACTTCGGGTGGCAGTATCACTGGTTTGGCATAGGTCCCACCAATCTGAAAAAAAAAAAAAAGAAAAGAAAAGTAAAAAGGAAAAGTAGAAAAAGTAAGCTTTTGGGGAACAAATGGCAAATGCAATATTGTATTTTTCATTGAATATATGATCAGAAACCTTAAGTTATGGTTTATAAATTTGAACATTCCTATTACTCACTGATCCGATGTTGGAAAGGGTAAATGTTCCTCCTGTAAGGTCAGTGGTACTGAGCTGACCTGCAGAGCCCAATTTCTGAAGGCGGTTCAACTCAGTGGCGATCTCAAATACAGAGCAGATCTGAACGTTTTTCACATTAGGGACAATCAACCCCTGCTCAGTATCCATTGCTATCCCAATGTTGTGAGAAGCCTAAAAAAAAATTATAGAGTAAGCCTTTTCATAAGTTAACAGAAAAGAAAAGAACAGCCTTCACTATCTTATAAAAACAACTGCCAAAAACTGTTTCTACCAGATTGGTGATGACTTAAATAATTTTTAAAGGATTTTAAAAGGATTTTTTTGCAAAAGATACATTTTTATTGGTAATAATATAGGGCAACAGGCTATTTCTATACATTACTAGTGGATATATAAGCTGGGGGGTATATAAGATTTTCTCGGGAATATTTATCAATATGTACCAACATTTATAAAACTTTGTGTTTAGGAGATAAATATAGAAGTATATAGAGATACACAGGGATATTGAGTTCAGACTAAGTCTGAGAAACTGCAAACAATCAAAATGTTTATCAATAATAAGCCACTGGTTAAACAAATAACAAAATTATGTTTATTGACATGTAATGATGTCCATTATATATTAAATGAGAAAGCAATAAGTTTAAAACCTTTAAGTTAAAAACACAATATGTATAAATACGTATGATTTTTTTTAAGTATGTGAAAATAAAATCCTGGAAGGATGCACGTCTCCACACAAACAGTAAGTTATTTTAGGGTCATAGGATTGAAGGTAAAGATGGTTACCTTCTTGTCTGAATATTTTTTGCAACAAGTATATACTTAATCAGGAAATTGTATTAAACATATGTATGAATCATATTGTATGGGAACATTTTAAATCCGACCAGCTAAAATATCTAAGCTCACTTTCTAATAAGAAGTATAAATAAGGATCAGCATCCCAAAAAGTGTTCTCAGTTTCAATAAATCTTCAGTCCAAACAGAAGAGTTCACTCAAGTGGAATCCATACTTTCATTACTTTTCCTATTTCTGGTTAAATTATTCTGGTTTTAAAAACTGCAGGAACTCCATTTTGAGAGAGGTTATTCCTTTGAGGGGAGGATATGCGCAATGGTTAACATAATCCATTGCTTGACAGCCATTTATTTCTATTATTTTAAGCGATAAACCAAAGGGGCTTAAAAATGGTACTCCATATATCTGAACAGTATCATTATTAACAAATAAAATCATTAACAATAGTAATAAATTATACTTCGGTTTAATATTTTATCTCATACCTTTAATTCTAGTCTAAAAAAACCCCGCTGTTTGAGGTACAAAAGATTTTCTAACCTACAAGTTCATCTGCACTATTTTCTGTATTTGCAAGAACTTGCCAGAACACATAGCCAACCTTATATGTTATGTTCTGGCAGTTTTCATCCACAGAAGCATTAAGGATAGGAAACTGTAGTAGTCCCAAGGAAGCAGCCTGTTTAACAGAAAGAGAATGCAACATTAGTACTTTTAACTCAGGAAACTGGAAGCAGTAAGAGGTGTGAGGGAGAGAGGGAGCTTTATTTAATGATGCTTAATTACGCTGAGCTTAATTTCAAGTCTATATGTACCTAGGTATATTACTCCCCATGTTACCTCCAAGCAGGCGCGCAACTAGGTCACCCTAATCACTTAAGAATAAAAGATAACATTGTCAAGCAGCTGTAAACATCAAGATTTTCAAAATGACTATACAGATCAACCAAAATACCATAGAAAATATCTAAATTCTATGTGGTTTCCTCACTTGCACATAGAATCTTACATGAGAAGTAAACTTGTAGTTCAAAACACTGAATTAAAACACAAGAAGGTAGTAAGCTGTTTCCCTGTGGAGAAAGAACAAGTGATAAGCATTTCCAAGGGCACCAACCATGCTCGTGTTCCAATAGGTGTCTTTGGCCTAGTGAAGGGCAGAGCTGGTGTGAACATTTACTTTAGAGTTCACCTTCCCAAACTCTCCCTCCTCTGCCTTCTTCTCCCTTAATCTTTTTTCCTTTTTTTCCTCTTCTTACTTTGTAACGTTCCTCTTCTGTCCATATTCAAGTTTTCCTAACTGTCCGCTAAATGTTTTCTGTATCTGTTTCTCTGCCCATCCAGGATCTAATCAAAGTTCACACATTGCATTTGGTTGGCATGCCGTGTATTCAATTTTAAAAATAGGAAAATAAAAAATGCTTAAAACTGTCCTTAAAATCCAGCCCTCTTTATCTAGTCCAATTAAGAGTCCTTTATATGTACTGTGTTAAGTGTTATTTTTGCCTGTAGGTCAGTAGTCATGTCAGGAAAAAAAAAAAAATCATTTCCTTGGGGCGCCTGGGTGGCTCAGTCGGTTGAGTGTCCCGACTTCGGCTCAGGTCATGATCTCATGGCTCGTGAGTTCAAGCCCCGCATTGGGCTCTGTGCTGACCGCTCAGAGCCTGGAGCCTGCTTCGGATTCTGTGTCTCCCTCTCTCTCTGCCCCTCCCCCGCTCATGCTCTGTCTCTATCAAAAATAAGTAAACATTCAAAAAAAAATTTTTAAAAATCATTTCCTTGAACTAGAGAGTTAAAGCAGGTTTTACTAAGCATTTGATTTGACAACTGTAACTTTAATCTGCTCTATATAAAAATCCATAACTAAGGTTAAAGTGTTACACATAAAAACACTATTTTGAATGTAATCCAAATTTTGTAAAAGAAAAACCAAAGTGTGTGTTCACAGATACGAGGTCATTTTTTCCTTCTACAATAGATTGTAGTATTTTCCAAATGTTCTCTAATTTACATAGGCAGAAAAAAATGTTGTTTGAAAACAAATAAAGCACACTAAATTTTATTTTCAAAATAAAGATATTTCATTCAGATTGGAACAATGAAGAAAAATAATAAAAGAAGTTCAATATATTAAAAAGTTGGTCTCTGCTTGCTTCAAAACAGACATCACCAGTGTCACTCACATTATTTTTAACTCTCCATTTTCCAGCTCTTTCCCTCAGCCTACAAATCTGTTCCAGTTTTTCTAGGAGGGGAGAGGGCAGATGGAATCTTTCTTCACCCCAAACAAGCACTATAATTGCCCTCTGTGCCTATGCTCTATCTGCTTTTTACCAGATATTTTTAGTGTTTTCCTCAATTTCTATTCATTTACCAACTAACTGGAATCAAGCTTCTACCTCAACAATACTTTATTCAATCAGTTCTGGGTAAGGCTACTCATGACCTCTTCATTACTACTCCAATAGCCTGTTCCCATCCTAACTTTTTTTTTTTAAGGGCTTTATATTTATTTATTTTTTAAGTAATCTCCACAATCAACATGGGGCTTGAATTCATGACCCCAATATTAAGAGTCACATGCTCTACTGACTGAGGCAGCCAGGTGTTGCCCATCCCAACTTCCTTCTTGTCTCTTGGTATGAGAAGCTGAAGAAATGGCCTCGATGGTTCAAGCCCCTCTTGTATCCATGCCCTCTGGTACTGCTCTGAGCTCAGTCATGTGACTTGCTTTGGCCAATGAAATAAGAACAAACTTGATGCAGCAAAGCTTAGAAACGTGCTTGACGTTTCTGCTTCCTCTCTTCATCCCTGACAGTACTATGAGACCACGTGCAGGCTAGCATGCTGGGGGGAAAAGAAACATGTGAGGGGAGAAATGAGTTATTTCTGCCAAGGCCATCCTACACCAGCCCACCCCTAGCCAACCTACTAGCTGTCTGTAGACAAAGAATTAAATCTGCCAAGATCAGCAGACTGGTTCTGTGGACTCATGAGAAGTAATAAATGGATGTTATTTCAAAGTACTAAATTTGGGGGTGATCTGTTGATACACTGACTTCTAGGAGACTCTTTCCTGGTTGTCATAGCCCTGACTCCACTCACTTTCTTCCACCGTCTCTGCCAACTCAACTTGTATCTACCCCTTAAATGCTGATGTAAAATCTGTAGCCTTCTTTTCTTCTCATTTGCACAAAATTTGGGTGATTTCATCCATCTGATTCAATTACTGTGTCTCTAAAAATGACTCTATAGCTAAAATATAACCCAGATGTCTCATTTATAGATATCTATTACATTGCATGTTTATAGAGCATTCGCTTAGTTGTTTAGGGTAGTTGCTAAAACAATGGAGATTAACAGTTTCTGCCCCAAGAAGCTCAGCATCCAGTGAAGAGAAAACAGAGCAAACATGTGCAATACACTGAGATACACTGCAATGAGAAACGAGTATTTAACTCAAACTGTGACAGCTACAAAAGGCTTCTGGAGGAGGGTATTCCTGAACAAAATTTGGCATTTAGGATGTGCAGGCATTTGATCAAGGAGGAGGGGGCATTTCACGTGAAGTCTTAAGTCCAGCAGCCATGCAGGCTTAATCTGATTAGAACAGGAGTGATTGAGAGATAAGGCTGGAGAGGTAGGCAGTAGAGACTGCAATAATATTTGTATGCCAAACGAAGGAGTTTAGAAACTAACCTGAAAACAATGAAGGAGACCACTGAAAAGAACTGGGGAATACTACAGTAATTTCATTTATGGAAGGTCAGTCTTGGTACAGTATGGAGATAGGGCTAGAGGGAAGCCAGCCACACTAGAATTAGAGATACCAGTATGCATTTTTGAGTAAAACAGACCAGAACCCAAAACTTGGCTTCTCCACTTATAAGTTCCATATATCCTTGACAGGCTTCTCAATTTCTCTGAACCCTAATTTCCTTAACTAGAAAGTGAATATGGCCATATTTACACGTCAGGGGTATTCTGAGAATTAGGAGAGATAATGCATATAGCATGCTTAGTACATAGTCTGCCACATGGTACCTGCTTCATAAATGGTTGTTAATGTGAGCTAGACGTTGAGCTGCTTAAGGTCAGCTGACTGTCTTGGTTTTGTTTTGTTGTTGCTGTTTGTTTTGTTTTTGTTTTTGTTTTTTTGTTGTTTTGTTTTGCTTTGTTTTTGACTGTCTTGTTTTATAATGGTCCTAAGGCCTAGAAACAATTTCCAGGACGTTCAATATAAGTTTGTTGAGTAAATGAAAACGAACACATGTCAGTGATATGCAAGAATGATATCAAGTCTCATTTTTGTCCAAATCAGGATTTTGCTGGAGTGATCTTTTCAGAATTAAAGGCTTTACTTAACTGGCAAGACAATCCTTTAGCTAGCTCAAAGAGATGAGTTGATAAATTATGACATAAATTTCAATTTTATAAATTCCTATGAAACAAAGAAATAGTGCACTTGTACATTTTTCTAACCATATGATATGGTGAAAAGTAATATTTTTATCTAAATCCATGGTTAACACATTGTATATCTGCAAAACAAAATTTTAATGGCCTATTCAAGCCCTGTTTGAAATGAATGAATCTCACCTTTAAGAAAAAGGGCAAAAAGGAGAGTTTAATTCCACGGGCAAAAGCAATGGGTTTTAATTCTTCTCGTAACTTAACCAGTTCAGTAAGGTCAACCTCATCACAATACCCAAAGTGAGGTATCTTCAGGGCTATAGACATGGTCTTGACCATTGCTTTATGAAAGCCTGGAAAACATTAAATACATATATTTTTTTGAATTCTTAAATCCTTTAAACCTTTTTACTAAAACTGAAGGTTCTCTAATGTCTTTTACTTTTCCAACTAAACTTTTCCTCTTGAGGCTACCATCTTTATTACGTGATTTGAAAGACACTAATTCCAATGCTGAAGCACTGATTACAGCATAGCACCCAAGGTCAAGTGTAATAACATTAGGAAGTAACTGCCTTCAATGCTGTGGTATATAGAAAAATATAAAAAGATGCAAGCCATGTATTTACCTAATGGATTTCTTGCAAAGCCACGCTTCTGGAAGTTAATTATCCTAAGAGTTTATAAATAACAAATCAGAGCTAGTTATTTGGAAGGTAACTAAAAATTATAACATCTTAAGTCTTCAAAAAGAGCAATTATCAGTATACATGTGTATAGTCCAAGAAACCTGCTAACCTATTACTCTTCAGAAATTAACAGAAATACACTGAATCTTTTCTGGAAAAACTATGTTATTTCACCGCTAAAAAAGGGGGAATTTGAACTTTCCCCTCAGTAAGAATTGAAAACACCATACTATACAGAACGATCTAGTGAAGTAAATGTCCCCAGATAACTTGTCCTAGTGCCTTACATTACTGTTATTACCTTTTATGGGTTCTGTTTTGTCTTTGCCTGTGAATACTGGAGGCTTTGATATTGGTACGGGAATAGTTCTGTCTTTTGGTTTGGGTGGAGGTGGCACGATTTCAGCTTTTGGTGAAGGAGGTAATATAGCTCCAGTCTGCTTTTCCAAATAGTTGAGAATATCTTCTTTAAGTATTCTGCCATCTTTTCCTGAGCCAACAACTTCACTCAGCTTAATCTAAAAAAATGACACATTTTAATGCTAAAAATAATACTATCTAAAAATAAATATGTCCATCATTTAAATCTCTAAATGGAATTTAACCAATTGAAAAAAAAAAAAGGCTTTCTGCCCAATAAATTAGTAAAAGGAAAGAACATTTTTATAATCTTCATAGAATGCTAACAAACAATAGCTGCCCTTCATATGTAATCATTTGTTACTTTTTAAAATTCATTTGTTACTTTTTTTTTAAGTTTATTTTTTAAGAGAGAGAAAGAGAACATGCTGTCTCACGTGAGCAGGGGTGGGGCAGCGAGAGAGGGAGACAAAGGAACCAAAGCAGGCTCCTCACCGCAGCAGAGAGCCTGATTTGGGGCTTGAACTCAGGAACTGCGAGATCATGACCTGAGCCGAAGTTGGACACTTAACTGACTGAGCCAACCAGGCGCCCCACATTTGTTACTTTTGTATATACTGTTCATTTGCCAATGTTGTAACAATGCAGTATCTGCATTGCAGATAATCTGCACTGCACTGCATATAATCCATAGCTATGAAAACTTACATTTTTAAAGTCAACTATTTTTAAACTTCTTGCAGTTCTTACTAGATTTTTTTCTTTTTTGGAGACTATATAAGAAGAACTCAAAGTTTAAAGAGTTAAACACTGTAACAAATGTCAACCCATGTTTCTGACCTTAGAGAGCAAGATGGACTCACTCATGTCAAGCAGTGACTTAAGCAGCCAAAGGTATTGCAGCTAACAGCAGGCCGCATCACCCAAACCAGCGTAGTACTAAGGACTGATACCAGTAAGGTCGTGAGAATCTGGAAGAACCAGGAACTGATTCGAATCACCAGAGGCCTGTCAAAGCCAAAGACTAAACTCCTTTAAAAAGGGAAGACTTCTGTAGCAAACAGACTCTCCAGATGCTGAGCCTTCCACATGTGACTGCATTAAAAAGGCAGTTACCACCAAAAGTTCACCTGACTGATCTCTGAACAGAAGACATCTGATCCTCTACTTCCTGAATATAATAAGCAGCATGTGCCAAGAGGTGACCCAGGCCACAGCGAGTCCTCACCTCAACTCTCAAATGCATACCACTGACTTCGAGTTTGGTTTGTTAACCTCTTAACCCTTATTGTATCTTGTTTGTTGTGTTGTATTGTGACATGTATGAAGCCCAGTTAAATGCTTTATGATTGAATAAAGCTGACATTGTGGAAAGACACTCATGTACATGCCTTTATGGCATGTTTAAAGCAACCTGGCTATCAGTACTACTAATAGTTAAAATAATCATCATACAAAAGCTCTTAGTTTTTTCTGATAGTTGTTTAAGAAAGATAAGTACAAAACATTGAAATTAGGGGTGCCTGGGTGGCTCAGTTGGTTAAGCATCCGACTTCCGCTCAGTCATGATCTCCAGGTTTGTGAGTTTGAGCCCTGCATAGGGCTCTGTACTGATAGCTCAGAGCCTGGAGTTGGCTTCCGATTCTGGGTCTTCCTCTCTTTCTGCCCCTCCCTCACTCATGTTCTGTCTCTGTCTGTCTGTCTGTCTCTCTCTCTCTCTCTCTCCCAAAAATAAACATTGAAAAAATTGAAATTAATTTTATTGAGGCATATTTGGAATGTTGAGTTTCTCAGCCCAAGTTAAATGGCACATATGTTTTATTATTGCTTCCTATAGAATAGTAAATGACATCATTCCACTTTCCACTAGACACTCATTGTGAGATGGTGATTTATGACAAGTATATTTTTGGTCTTCCTCCCCAGATCTGGCAGGGAGCTCCTAAAATCCTTGAAATGACCAGTGATAAAAAAGTGTCTTTTATTATGCTAATGCACCTTTGTAAAGCCCTTAGGGAACCTAAAGATGGAGGCTGGTTGCCAGGGGAACCAACTGTGTGATTAGACATTTGTAACTTTCAGTACCCCTACCCCAGGGCAGGAGGTTGAATCAGTTGCTAACAGGCAATGATTTAATCAGTAGGGGTTATGTAATGAAGCTTCTAAAACACCCCAAAATGCTTGGAGGCATTTAGAGAGCCTCCAAGTTGAACACTGGAGATTTGGGGAGATGGGCGCACCTGGAGAGGGCATGGAACCTGTCCACCTCTTTCCACATATACCTCTATGTCCCTCCATCTGGCTGTTCCTGAGTTGTATTCTTTTATAATAAATCAGTAATCTGGTGAGTAAATGAGTTTCCTACGTTGTATGAGCTGCTCTAGGAAATTAATCAAACCCAAAGAGGGGATTGTGTGGACCTCTCATCTGTAGCCAGTAGGCCAAAAGTATAGCTAATAACCTGGGCTTGCGATTGGCATGCTAAATTGGAGGGTAGGTCAATGGAACCTTGTCTCTGTAGGTAGTGGGTCAGAAGCATTGGTGATAACCTGGCTAGAGAGCATAGGAAGTGTTGTGGGGGAAGGGTGGGCAGTCTTGTAGGATGGAATCATTAATCTGTCAATTCTGGCACTGTCTGTGGGAAGACAGTGTCAGAACTGAGCTGAACTGTAGGATACCCAGTTTTGTCCAGAGAATTGCTTGTTGTTGTTGTGGGGACCACGCCCATTCCCGATCTACACATTGGAACTGGATCCAGGAACCAAAAAGGTTCATGATTTTTTTTTTTATTAAAAAAATTTTTTTTAATGTTTTTATTTATTATTTTTGAGACAGAGAGAGACACAGCATGAGCAGGGGAGGGGCAGAGAGAGAGAGGGACACTAAATCCAAAGCAGGCTCCAGGCTCTGAGCTGTCAGCACAGAGCCCAACGCGGGGCTCAAACTCATGGAGTGTGAGATCATGAACTGAGCCGACGTCAGACGCTTAACCGACTGAGCCACCCAGGCGCCCCCATGATTCTTTCTGAAAACACTGTGATCTGGCTTTATTTAATCCCCTTTGTGTTTGGTTACAGAGATAAAATATTCTTGTTAAATTTAATTCTATTTAAATAGACACATAAGCTTAGATGATGGCCTCATACTTAGTGTGTATTAACTAATTTCTCAGGGTTAAGTCCTGCTTCATTCGTATTAGTGCTTCTCTAAGGATGACTTCAGAAGAGTAAGACTTTATAGTGTCAAACATTTAGTTTATAACAAAGAATTTTGAGAATTTAAGCAAATAATTTTAGGTAATTTCAAACAACTGTAAATGCCATTGGTTTTTAATTTGATTCACAATTTATAATTTAATAATTTAAATTATAATTCATAATTTAAATTCAATTAATAAATACATAAACTGTGAAAAAAGAAAAGGTGATTTATAACAAATCCAGTGATTTCCAGTAATTATACAAATCTCTAGTTATTATATACATCTTTAAGAAATGGCATAGGAAAACAAAATCATGCATTGTTATAGGTAGTTTTTCTATATAATTAAGAAAAAACATTAGTAAAAGAGTTTATAACTTTCAAAGCAATACACAAGATTATTTCATCTGATGCCCATAACAGTGTAGTGTTTCATACTATTATTTCTATTTTCTATTATGCTAAATAGTCTTCATATTTGAACACATTGAATCACTGCATAAATTTTCATTAAGTGTTTATAACATAATTTACCCAAGCATATTCCTCATTTTGAACCATATGTGCCTTCTCACTTTGGGCTATATAAAACACTTGGAAGAATATATCCTAGATTGTTTCCTTGGGACAGTTTCCCAATGTTAGGATAATTGTCTAAAGGGATATGAACATTTTAATGACTCATTACATATTTCTAAAATGTAAGCTTTTTTTTTTTCCCACTGTGACTTAACTGCTTCTCTCAAAAACAGACAAAAATCCTGCATTGTGGGGTACAGTGGAAAGAACCCAAGTTTGAAAAAAGACAAATTCCCAGTTCAGCTACTTACTTGATTTTAGGCAGTTTAATCAACTTCTCTGCCTTTTGTCATCTGCAAAATGGGGATAATCAAAACCACCCTGCAGGATGGCTGTGAGGATTAGAGAGAACATGTACATGGTGTCTGACTCATAAACGCTCAAATAACAAAGGCAATAATTGTTGAGGCAGTATGTAATGATCAAGGGCACTGGTTCTGCAGTCACAGAATCTCACTTCAGGATCCTGGCCCCACCACGGTGTTAGTTGTGTGATCTTGGACCTGTTACTTGACTCTCTCCAAGTCTCTAAATAGCCCCCATAATTTACAGCATTGTTGTAAAGATCAATGAGATAACACGTACACACTTATTGCAGTACCTGGGGGCCACCTAGCCCTAAAGGGAAAGCACCAATGACTGGATGATAAGAAGGAATACAAAAGGCTGGTCTGCTAGCCTCAACTCAGTACAATTCTTTGGTGTTCTCCAACTCCTTTAAATCAGATCCTTGAGACCACATCGTTGCCTGGCCCATTTCCCTTTTCTTCCTTTCTCTATCTTGCTTCCCTCATTCCCAGAAAAGGTATTCTCTCCCTCAGTCACTCCATTACATGCACCCAAAACCCTGTCTCAAGCTGGCTTCTAGGGTGCCTGATCTAAAATGCTAGTATTTATAAGTGTTCAAAAAATGGTAGCCCTGACTATTAGGCTCTAAGGAAGAATAATAAAATCCCATTGCCCAATTAATATAAGTAAGAAGTTTGCAATTTCTTCTCATTTCTTATTGGTGCTTTTATGCAACAATCACTTCTCAGTAACACACATTTTCATTTTCCTTTAATCTCAAATTGAGTCATCTCATGGGAGAGCTGGCTACTTTTTCATAGACACAAATGTGTATCTTCTGTGTAATCTCGCACTTAAATACGAAGGAAACTTACATTGTTTTCCATTGCTAGGCGGCGAACTGCAGGGGTGGCCAGTGTTTTCTGGCCCTTTATCTCTTGGTGTGTGTGTTCATCATGGGACACAGCAGGAGTTTCAACAACATCTTCTTCTGAATCTGGCAATGAGGTAAAATGGTACTCTTTAGTTGAAAATGTTAAAAAAATAAAAATAAGCTTAGTGGCTTATAATACACAAATAAATTCAACTTAAAATTTATAGTCAGAAGCATACTAGTCAGGCTACTTCAAAATGGGAAAACACAACTACATACTGGGAAACAATTGGGGGAGAGCAGAGGGGCATACTGGCACCTGGTAGTTTAATGATTATTACCTGGTGTTTACTTCATTTCTGTAAAAATCATGCAGCAGCTACAAGTTAAAAAATGAAAGCTTCTTCAATAAGTTTTAAACATTTTGTATTTTAAACACTTTCCTAATAAATTTCTCATATTTACAAATAGCATAAAATAAGAGTCAAATGTAAGACAAATTACATGAAAGAATCATATAAAATCTGTGACAATCTTAAAATGCTTTCCCCAAATAATAAAGTATTTATAATTTTTCTCTGCTTTGAATACAGCTTAAGGAATGCTGTGGAAGATTTTATTTTCATGGCTAATGCTAATTTGGTTGGACCATTCTCTAAATCTAGAATATCTATAGAAGAAAAAGTACCCCAGACTATTAGCATGTATTTTCCAGGCTATTAGCATGTATTTTTGCAACCCAAAATAAAAAAGCATTTGAGAGCATTTCATTGGCAGAGTCTGATGCTTGGAAATCAATGCTGCATAGCAGAAGTCTCTGTGGGAATGAGTGCATTAGAGACTAAGCCTCTGAAAGCAGGCAACTGAATTTGCTTTGACATTCGATTCAAAGCCAGTAACAATTCTCCACTGCTCCACCTATGGAAACAGTCTCTTCATTCTTCCTCACTGGTCTATGAATTGGCCCAGTGGAGCTCTCACATTTTCACAGAAGGAGACAAAGGGAAAACAAAACAACTTGTGTTGCGCACGAAGGGTAGCAGAATATGCCACCCCAAATATGCCACTTTGGTATAGTGATTATTTTGAGCTGCAAGCACTTGAAAAACAGCAAATGCAGGCAGAGACATTCTCTGAACTCTCATACACCTAAAGGTGGATCTTCCAGAAGCAACTCCACTGTCATAAATCCCCTCCCTAGGAGTTTCATCCACCAGGGAAGATTGATTCTTATAAAAGAGGAGAGTAGAAGTCAGCAAACTTTGTCCCAAACTGTCATACCTCCCATCTATTCTCTAAGGACCCATTCAACTTCCATGAAAACTACTTACTCTCCCCTAAGAGGACTTTTCCCATTTCCCCTTTCCCTATAGAAATGCTATTTAAGCCTGAACTCTAAAGCTACCTCTTTGAGTTACTCATCTTTCCCTGGGTGTCTCCCATGTATAGATGAGTATGTACACATGTTAATAAACTTCTCTTTCTCTCTTGTTAATCTGTCTTTTATTACAAGAGTCTCAGCTAAGAACTCAGAAGGTTAGTAGGTGAATTATTTTTCCTCTCCCACAAGCACCTATTATAGGTAAAATACTGCACTACATATACAATATCATAACTTAATCTTTACTCCAACTGTATAAGATAGGTGTTAGTATCCCATTTTATAGATTTAAAAAAATTGATACTTCAAAGATGAAGGATTGGCCCAAGTTCACACAGCTAATAAAACTGAAGAGCTGGGATTCATTCCTAGGGTTGACTCACCCTGTGCTGTTTCCATTAGTTCATGGCACTAGTGAATTTTCTTTGTAGTCAAAGAAGCTAGAATACAACTCCTATTGTTCAAGGCATAATTTTGTTGTAATTTGAGAAACCTGTAGTATTGTCCACATCTGTTAAAGTTACTGGAGAAACTAGTAAGAAAGAAGGAGCATTAGGAACTAAGGTGCAAAGGGAAACCAAGGGAATTCAAATGTAGGAATTCCAAATCTAACCTGATTTAATGTGTATTTTTGCTGAAAATATGAGAAATATATAAAAGCCCAAATATATACAAAAGCTACAGGTTTCCAAAAGATCACTGAATTTATTGCCACTCACCTTTCTGGAAAACATTCTGATATATGACAAAGTAGGACTGCCTTTTAGAATAATTTGAGTACAAATATGAGTAATAAAACACTGGTGAGAAGTCATTCATATTATATATTATTTGAAGCAGTCATATAATTGTTGGAAGAAAGCTCTCTTCAGCACTAAATTACCACCTATGTAGTACTTTAGATCATTTTCTAAGTGTGTATACAAACATTTTCTCCTGTGATGATCACAACACTGTTACAGGAATGCAGGGCAGATTTCTTACTTTTATCAATGTACAAACAGATTCTAAGGAGGATGGAGTTAAGGCTAACCTAAAATGTCATAACTCTCCCCAAGGGATGTGATTTTCATGGTTCTAACACTATACTCTGATATGTGGGATTTTATTCTTTTAGTAGTGGATTTAGGAATACAGAGTTTTAAAAGACTTAATTACATTTTTTAAAGAGCAACAAAAGAACTCTGGTAAATAAGCACTTTTTGTCATGAAAACTGTCAATTTAGTGTTGCTGATATTCCTCATGTGAAGCAAATTTATAATAGAACTATTATTTCAGATTAACTAAATAAAACATTTGAATTAGTAAAAATATTAAAACTGAAGGGTGCCTGGGTGGCTCAGTTGGTTAAGTGTCTAACTTTGGCTCAGGTCATGATCTCACGATTGTGAGTTCGAGCCCCGCATCGGGTTCTGTGCTGACAGCTCAGAGCCTGGAGCCTGCTTCGGATTCTGTGTCTCCCTCTCTCTCTGCCCGTCTCCCACTCATGCTCTTGCTCTCAAAAATAAATAAACATTTTTTTTTAATTTAAGAAAATATTAAAACTGAAATTGCCACATTCTTAGGTATTTTAAGAAATATTTCTAAAAATGACAGTAAGTAGTCAATTCACATAATTGGGGAAATTTTTCTGGAGAAAACGTTTTGAAGCACTTGAGCACTCAGGGTGTTTGAAACAATGTGTTTTCATAAAATGTTTTAAGCTTTGGTCTCTGCAAAACTGCTTAGGAAGACCTTTTTTTGTAGAACAACTGTCAACTTTTGTTTAGTTCCTATATAAATCATCATGAATTGAGAATTGATGACACTCCAATCAATGATATCTCACTGCATTTTCTTTCTCACTTCAAATTACTGAAATAGCTAATATAATCAACTCAGTCTATAACTGGCTGAATAAAACTAAGTCCTACCTACCATTCGTTGTGCACTTAGTATGCTCGGGCATTATACCATGCAACTTATGCCACTGGGTGTAATTTAATTAAATGACATGTAATTTAATTAAATGACATCTTTAACTCAGAACATTGTATTAATTCTGGCAAACATTTTAATATTATAAACTCTGTGGGACACCTTAACTGATATTGTTATAGCAGAACTTCACAAACATGAGTATCAACAGTGTTAGGAATTCATTCCCAATGTTCGAGATGCAGAATGGCGCTGATACCCAGAGGCTCTGAATAGAATTTTCAGTGGAACAAAGTGGTTAGCAACATGGGCTTTAGAATTAAACAAAGCTGGGGTCAAATTGTAGTTCTATCAGTTACTGGCTATGTCACCAGAGGCAAGATATTAAATCTCTGTGGGTCTCAGTGTTGCACATGTCAAATGCAGATAAAAATCTACATAATTTAATCTATATGATTATATGAAATAATGTGTATATAGCATTAGCAAAGAGAAAGCATTCAATCAATGATAGGTGGTGATGTTAAAGGATAAATGCAATATAATCAAGAATAATATTAGTTTTATAAAGAACTCTGCTACAGTTTATGTTCCTTCCTCTCTTTCCTTAATATTTCCCCATGGTGGCAAGACTCCACAATTAGGATTACTTAGGTATAGTGACCTCTCAGTTATCTGGTGGTCAAACATTCTGGCAATTTAATCCTGCACATAGCTTCAGGATCAGAATACCTAAAACAGCTGCCATGTGGCCTCAGCATTAAAACCATGCCCTTGCCCTAGAAAATAGGAATTTAGACTCTCAACCAGATCCTACTTTCTCTTCGTAGTAAACACTTCTTAACAAACTTAGTTACCCGTGTTCCTGGAAATTTAGGAAGGAGAGTGTTGGCCTGGCACAATGATAATGCTAAGAAGTAGGTTGAAAAATAAAAAACCAGAAGCAGAATTATGTTGTTTCCAGAATAATAAATGTTCATTAACATGTTTTTGCATAATGAAAAAAGATTTTAGGCTATACTCAATACCCTCACTTTAAGAAGGAGTAAAATATATAAAGTTTAAAAGAAAATCAGGGTGCCTGGGTAGCTCAGTCAGTTAAGCACCTCTTTTTAAAATTGTTTTTTAATGTTTATTTATTTTTGAGATAGAGAGAGAGAGAGAGAGAGACAGAGCATGAATAGGAGAGGAGCAGAGAGATAGGGAGACAGAATCAGAAGCAGGCTCCAAGCTGTCAGCACAGAGCCTGACGCAGGGCTTGAACTCACAAGCTGCGAGATCATGACCTGAGCCAAAGTCGGATGCTTAACCCACTGAGCCACCCAGGTGCCCCAGCACCTGGCTCTTGATTTCAGCTCAGGGTCATGATCTCATGGTTTGTGAGACTGAGCCACATGGTGGGCTCCATGCTGACAGCAGACAGCCCAATGCATAGCTTGAACCCACGACTGCGAGATCATGACCTCAGCTGAAGTGGGATGCTTAAAGGACTGAGACACCCAGGCGCCCCCAGTAAGCTCTTTTCAAGTAGAGGTCTGTCTACGGTCAAAGCACTCATAGATGGGACTTGGACATCACAAGTAGAGTTTCCCTCATCAAAATTACCTTGATGCTCCAGCCTTGGAAAGGAGACAACACCACCATGTTACAAAAGGTGGTGCCAGAGAATATCATTTAAACAAGCATTAGAAGACAGGATTAATCTCCAATACTACTATTAAGATGTCTAGTTTTGGGGCACCTGGGTGGCTCAGTTGGTTAAACGTTGACTTCGGCCTAGGTCATGATCTCGCCATTCCTGAGTTTGAGCCCCGCATTGGGCTGTGTGCTGACAGCTCAGAGCCTGGAGCCTGCTTTGGATTCTGTATCTCCCTCTCTCTCTGCCCCTCCCCTGATCATGCTCTGTCTCTTTCTCTCAAAAATAAACATTAAAAAAAATTAAAAAAAAAGATGTCTAGTTTTGATCATATACTCTTAATGGTTCTATGTTATAATTATTTTCCACCTGTAAAATGGAAATAATATATTTTATACTTCTAAAAGACTTTTTGTTTGGTAATTTTCTATTTATAGTATAACTGGTTTTACTAGCACTAAAACAAAAAAAAATATAAATTCAATATTATTACAAATTCTTAAGAAAAGGTTCACAGAATATTTAGAAACTGTCCCATTTCTAAAATTAAAGAGAGGGATATATAAATGTTTCGTAAATTGAATCTACTGTTCCATAGGCTTGCTTATATATAGGTTATGCTTTACAGTTTATTCTTATAGTAAAAAAATACAATAAAACATAAATGTAAAAGCAAAATGAAACTACAGTGCGAGATAACTGTTCAGAATACACTCTGGCAAACAAACCAGAATAGCTAGCAAATGATCAGTTCTCTATGAGAAATACTATCAGATACTTTTCACTCTGAACATAACCAACACAGTCTCATTTTTTTACAGACATACAATAAACTGCACAAACATAAAATATAAAATTTGATAAACTGTGAAGTATGTATATACACATAAGCCATCACCACAATCAAGATAAGGAACATGTCCACCAGCTCCAAAAGATTCCTTATACCAAGGAAAACACTAATCAGTTTTCTGTCATTATAGATTAGTTTGCATTTTCTAAAATTTTACGCACATAGATTCTACAGCATGTTTTCTTTTTGGTTTGGCTTCTTTTGCTCAGCATAATTTCTTTGAGAATCATTCATGCTGTACAGATTAATTTTTGTGAAACAATTCTCTAGAAAAAAATACCCGTATTCTGAAAAAGTTCTATAATTTTGTAATTTGCTATATATCAAGATTTATTAAGTTGAATGTCATTTGAAACGCCAAAATAAACTCTAAAAATAAAACCGAACAATAAAAAAACCCATAAATCTCAGGGTGCTGAGATAGCTCGGTCAGTTGAGTGTGTGACTCTTGATTTCGGCTCAGGTCGTGCTCGTGGGATTGAGCCTCGCGTCAGGCTCTGTGCTCAGTGTGGATCCTGCTTAAGATTCTCTCTCTCTTTCCCTGTGCCCCTCCCCTCAGCTCATGTGTGCACTCGCTCTCTCTAAAAATTAAAAAAAAATTTTTTTTAATTTAAAAAATCCACAAATCTCAATTGTTTACTTGTTCCTATAAATAATTCTTTTTTTTTTTTTTTTT